AAATTCAATAAATTGCTAAATATAAACGATATAAATTTAATAATAAAATTAACTGACAATGATTGGAAATCATTAACTTAATATGGAAGAATTAGTAGTAAGTTACATCAATTATGAATATTCGTTCCTCAAATAAAAAATGACTGCATTCAAATTTATAAACGCAAATGTAAATCAAGTTTTAACTATGAATACTAAAGCAATGCTATATAAAAATATCTTGAAAATAGTCGATTTACAAACAAATAAAATTGAATATCTAATTGAATTAAAATGAACTTCGTCAACAACTTCATGAAATATCAGATCAAATCAAAATTGAAAAAATTCGATATCTTAAATGTATTAATTTGAATATTCATAAAACTCATGAACATTGAGATGATACTATAAATTTGATTCTGCAGGAATAAGTGTATGTAATGAACAATAATCCTACTAGACAAGCAGAACTCTGTTAAGTGTCTAAAGGTAAGTCATGCATAAAGTAGAATTCTTAAATGCTTCTTGTGGAGAATTCTACCTGCTCTCATGAGTCTGGTCAAATTAGAGCGTTGCGATTCTAGCCGAATAGGACCAAGACGATTAAATTTCGTCAAACTCATGTAGATACTACAATCTATTATTCTAAATTAGAATAAAACAGTTTTAGAAAATAATAGCCAGTAGAAGTTGGAATAACCTTTGATTTCCAAGAGAAATTACTATTTTTTGTATTTCCTCAGATGTTTTGTTTGATTTTTCAGTTTTTGCTTAAAACACGATTTGAGAAATTAAAAAAAGACATTCGTAATCAGCGTCGTAAGCTCTATTCACTCATACATCATCCAACAAAATATAGTTTTTGCTCGATTTTTGTATTAGCGATACCCAATTATCAATTCAGAGGAGTGTTTACACCTATAAAAACTGTTCATTTTTTTCTATTTTTTTTCTTTGCTATTTCATAGTTTATATTAGTGAAATTTCAGTTTCTGTTTTGCAGTTTTTAAGCGGCAACATAAATTGATGTTGTACTTAAGTGAAAGTGTGTTTAATTATTGTATTCCAAATAGGTTTGAGCTCTATGTAGTACTTTATCAACGTCTCCAAGATACTTGATCAATTTCAGTCTATTTTTTCGCGCATCACTGCTACTTGAAATAGAGATAGAGAATAAAGATATATGAGTCCTTGATTGTCGTTATTTGCAATAGTTTTTCCTACGCTTTTTTCGAATCTGTTACTATCAGACCGTTTGATATTGATCGTTTCACAATTGATAAATCGATGTTTAAGAATGAAATCAATTTCTGTGTCGACTTGTTAACAAGTTATATATTGAACTTGATAACAAGTTCAGAGATAGTCAAGCTCGTCCCGTGCCATTGCTCACGCCCAAGCGCATCGCATATTTTTTGTCTCTTTTTGCTCTATTCTATTTTCTTGCAGAGCTCTTTGAACATCAGAATCATGTAAGCACGCGTTCCATAAAGCTCTGCGAGATGTAGCATAGGCGTGAGCATGAACGCAGGACAGCGCGGGACGAGTTTTGATGATCTCTGTAACAAATACAACAATAACAGCATTATATTGTTGTTGAACGGTTATTTATATAGATAACATTCTTGAATAAGTAATTTACTGCGAAATTTTTTTTATTGTTATGCAAATTCCGTATTTTTAACTGCAGCTAACAGAATTCTTTTTATTTGATTCTTTTACAAATGGCAAAAATCGTAACCATGAAATAAGTATTTATATAATAGATTATTTCAGACTTTCTTCTGGAATTCTTGTAGTATAACATAGCGAACCTTTAATTGTCATAGGACTTAAAATATGTTGAAAGTAAGTGCAAAAGATTAATTGCTGATTCTAGATGAAACATGTCGAATATCTTGTTCAATTTGAACAACTGTTGGATGTGTAGCGGATAATACACGATGATAGATAATCGCTGCTTCTTCTAAATATATTAGTGCTTGTCTCCATCGCGTCTTATTTTTATAGAGATCTCCAATATGTTTAAGTGTTAATGCATAGTGAATGTTTTGTGAATAAGACGACGTTCGATAAATTTCAAGTGCTCGTCTGAAATTTTCTGATGCGAGTTCAAAATGGTCAAGACGTTCGTGAATTAGTCCAATATTATCATATATCGCAGCTACATCCGAATGATTTGTCCCATGATGTTCCTGCTTAATCTTCAAAGCCTTTTCAAGACATTCCAGTGCTTCAATATAATGCTCTGTTGCATTATGAACAACACCCATATTAATCAGGCACATAACGATTTTTAAATGATTTTCACCCAGAACTTGGGTCCAGATGTTTAAAGCGTTTTGATATGCTTTAAGTGCTTGTTTGTAATCTTCTCTTTTTAGATGAATATTACCAATACTAGCAAAACATGCTGCAATATTTAAATCATCTGAATTCATTGTTTCTCTCATGATGTTAACTGATTTTTCATACCATTTCATACCATCTTCATAATTTCCTTTACCTGAATAAACTCGACCAAGATGATAATAACATAAACCAGTTTGTTTATAATCATCTGAAAATTCTGTAAGTAAACGTCGATAATATTTTTCTGCATCATCATATTTTTTCATTTGATATAAGATACTTCCAAAACTAAAAACAGTGTTTTCTTGATCATTATATTCTCTTTTTATTAGATCAATTCGATATTTTAAATCATTATCTTGATCACTACATAACGATAATTGAATAACCCAAATATTGTCTTCATTTAAAATAATATTTTTTAAACGAAATATAGCTCCTAACATAATTAATACTTCACATTCATCAGGAAAATCACTTTTTGATGATATATCAGCAAATGGTTTAATACCAACATGATCTGGATTAGCATCTATTTCAAATAATACTCTTTCTAAATTATCAGGAATTGAATTTACATCACCCAGAAGAAAAATTGCATACTTTTTATCTAAAGTTGTGGAAAAAAAAGAATTAATTGATATATAATCTCCAATGGAATTTTCCAATTCTTGTATTTCATCTTTTGACATTAATTGCGCACGATAGGTTTGAATTGCTTGTGAACATTTGTCTATTTCAAGTTGTCTTTGTATGTCAAAAATAAAAAATCGAAAGACAAAAAGTAAATCAATATTTTGTATTCGAAGAGCTTTATTTAATAAACGATACAGAAATGTTTCTCGTGTATACCACCATAATGCTTGATCGGGTCTATATTTTTCTTGAAATTCACGTATAATGGATAATTGGGAACTATTACTTTTATATAATTCTGAACATCGTGAAATTAATTCATCTTTATCTTTTACTGTAGGTTTCATTTGAAGAAGTGAATCAAGAAATAAGTTATGACGAACAAATTTAAGATTTAATGCTGTTGTCGTTTGATCGGGATTGTTACGCGTAGTAAATATATGTATAAGAAGTGGGTCATCGACTTTAACATGAATTTGTCTCTCTTGATCGGACTTTAGCTTTTCTATTAATTCATCGAATTTAGTAAATATGCCTTTAATCTAAAACCGATCAAATCAAAGATTTTATTTCCATTCGTAATTTCGAATATTTTCCAAAAAAAAAATACAATTCTTCAGATACTTTATCGCTTTTTCATAGAGAAATTGTTTTTCTGTTCTAGGATGACAAAAAATATACTTATTATCTTCAGATCGTGTAATTCTGAGCATGAATATAACAAATTTTTATCTCATTAAAAGGAGAATTTAGTGTCCATGAAAACTTTTTTCACATGTTCACAGTTGTTTTTCATTTTTATAAGATTCAGTGTGATAACAATCAATTATTTACCTTAATAAATGCTTTTGACCATATTTCATTTTTCTTTTTATCCATACAAAATATATAAATTGAAATAATTTGTCGAAAATGATGAATGCATGGCACAAATTCTTTACCCAATCGTCCACTTGTAATCAAAACCACTCGATCATCTCTGAACAAGTGTTGTATGTAGCTTTTACATTCTTCATTATTATCAAAGAGTTTTATATGATTTATAGCCGATCGAAGTTTTTGTTGAATTTCTATATTGTCTTGTGATTTACTTAATCCACTATCAAACATAACAAGAGTTGTTGTTTCAAGATTTTCATTGTCTGATAATGATGTATAGACACTATCAAGAGAATTTGGTATAGCCATCGGTTCTGAGTATCTTATGACATGACTATTCTCTTGTTTTCGTTAAACTAGATATGTATTCACTCAATCGTAACGATTTTTTATTTGTTTTGAAGCATGCAATATCGAACGCAAACTATGTATTTGGTCTTATTATTTTCATATGAGTTAGATTCGCAATGACGATAAACTGTTTTATTGATGAAATGAGTAATAAGGCAAAAAATAAAATTTTGTTCAGGTTTCTTTTACTGTTCCAAGAAATTTATTTTGAATGTATTTTCTAAGAAGAATATATTTTTAAAGGCAATCTTCTATTTTTAAAACTATTATAAATTTCATAATAGACAATTGAGAATTTATTATGAACTAAATATTATTATTTAGACATACTGATCAACGCTAAAATGCAAACACTGCATAAATTAATTTAAAACTAAAATAATAAGCAAATGAATAGCATTCACATTGGTATATATGTGCAACTGAGATAATTTCAATTAAAAAGAAAACAATTCAATAAGATTTATTAGTGGCATATAGTTATCATTCAAAACTGCATTTTTATTGCAAAAAAATGATAGATATTGACATTTTGTGCAATAACTACAGTAGATCAATGATAATCTGACGATTCTCGACCAATAGAAATTAACATCTGAGCCTCTCTTTAATCGTATGATAGATACGGAAAAATAATCTATATTCGATTGAAATCATGAATCAACATTTATAATGAATGTTTTTAACATTATAAAATAGATCATTATTTTTGTAAATATTATTTCTGCCGTAAAAGAATTAATGGTAGCCAATCATCGATTGCCAAAAACGCAAGCACTGATCATATTTTGGTTTCTATATTGTCCTATTTAGCAAGGCATGTCTAAAAAGTATCGGTTTCATTTTTGTAATGATACTATGTATGATGTGTTTGTTTTGTTTCGAGATTTTGAATGCATCTTTTTCTCTCTCGATATCCAAAAAAGGTATAATTGAAGCTATGATTTTTCACTATTAATCATTACTTCTATTGTTTATCCAAAGAAAAAAAAACTTTTACTTATATGATCAATGCATTTTCAGATCATCATGAAATCATTGATACTTATTGGATTGGTATTTATTATTTATGTTGCAACAACAAGCACATTTGGAGCTGATGATAAAGTAAATTTCCATTGAATTTTAGATTTATTTAGTTTTTTGTTTAATTTTATTATCTGTAATTTTGTAGCTTTATGTAACAAAAAAAGTTTATTTTGATATTGAAATTGGTGGTAAAAAAGAAGGTCGTATTGTTATTGGTTTATTTGGAGATGTTGTACCAAAAACAGCGGAAAATTTTGCACAATTAGCAGCTGGTACTAAGGGATTCGGATATAAAGGTTCAAAATTTCATCGTGTTATTAAAAGCTTTATGATTCAAGGTGGTGACTTTGACCGTGGCGATGGTACTGGAGGCAAAAGGTAACATTAATAGTTTTTGATTAAAAAAATCAATGATTTTTCTATAATAATTAAGTATCTATGGTGCTAAATTTCCTGATGAAAACTTCAAATTGCAACATTATGGTGCTGGATGGCTCTCAATGGCTAATGCAGGTAAAGATACTAATGGCAGTCAATTTTTTATAACCACAGTTAAAACTGAATGGCTTAATGATCGACATGTTGTCTTTGGCAAAATTCTCGAAGGTAATCTTTCTTTTTTCTCGACATAAATTTTTATTTTTTTTTCTACAAAAAAAATTAGGTATGTCCATTGTACACAAAATTGAAAATACCAAAACAGGCCCAAATGATCGTCCAACATCAGATGTTGTTATCGCTGATAGTGGTGTTATTGAAGTAGCAGACAAAATTGCCGTCGAGAGAAAACCAGTTGATGCGAAAGTTTAAAACAAGAAAATATTTCATTGTTAAACATATTTGTTATTCATCATTAGCTTATTATACATGAGACACTTTCTTTTTTTTTCTCTTTATTCTGTCTGTCGTGTGTATTAACGTAATTTTTTTTAAATACATCCCATAAAAAAAATCTGTTCTTTTTTCTCGTTCTATTCTTTTTGTTTTTGTTACGTAGTACCGAAGCAGAACAGAAAAGAGATGTACATTTAACCGAATCAATATCAAATGCACTACATGTGGTGCCCTCTGAATTTTTGCAATGAGTAAAATGTAATATTGATAATAGTCGATAAAGAAAATTATTTTTTATCAAACTGTGCTCTCCGGTTTTACCCAAAAAATGTCTATACGTAGATTTAATCGATACAATCTAACCAATCCAAACGTAAATCAACTATAGTGGTTTTTTCACGGAAATAAAAAATAGGTCGGAAAATATGACTTCTGAAAAAATTGACTTTTATCCAGTTAAAATTTGATATCAAGAAGAGCTTTTGAAAAAGTGTCTCAAGATTTTGAGAAATTAGCGCCACTAAGTGCATTTACATATATATTTATATATATTTGTTACTGTCTTTTCATTGGTTTATTTAATTCATTTAGTATATGGATTGATATACATATAGTAGGTTATTTTTACTTTAGTTGTTGTTGATTCTCTTTTATATAAGAGATTTCGTTGTTTTTATTTTTCCTTTAGTTTATTGTTATTTTTTTCCGCTTCGTTATTGGTCTTTGAAATAAACTAATGCATCCTAACAATTTTCATATTGTTTTTTTTTTTTTTATAAATGATGATTCAATGTAGATGATGCAATGTAGAATAATATCTAGTAAAAATATATTGAGTACCGATTTCAAAAAATGAGTTTTATGAGAAGAGCATTTCGGGTAGGTCTTAATGACCGTCTTGATAAATTTCTCGTATTTTTTATCTAGACTATTATTTCTCAATCGTTGTGTATATCAAAAATGGATGAATCGACAAAAACGAAACGTAATCGGGCAGAGAAAAAAACCAAACAACAACAAATAAAAGAATCAGAAATTAAAAGTATTGATAATCATGAAAACACTCTTCATGAAGATTCTCAAGAGCAGAAGGTTTATTTTGTTGTTGTGCTATATCTATTGCTTAAACATCTGCATGTGCTCTTCATATAATCTAATGAATTGATTGCTTATTCTATTTGATTTATCTAATATGATTAAAGTTAATATTATTTCAGAAAATACGTGAACCAAATATATCAACAGAAAGTCCTTTAACAATAACAATGTCTTCAATTCCTAATCATCCTACGTCAACCGCTTCATCCGTATCTTCATCAGCAAGTAATCAAAATTCTTCCAATTCAAACAAAAAACAACAAGCTACAAAAAATAAATCAGCAACATCAGAAGAAAAAACTGGTTTAGAAGCGAGTTCTGCCAATGATATTTCAGAAATCAGTTAGTCGAAATTTATTAGTCTTCTAGAAAAATTAATTTTTCTTATATATTTGAAGCTGAACGTGTTTCTAATATAACTATTCAACAAAGTTCTAAAGGTCCACCAGCATCGATCCAACCAAAACCTCAATTAACTCGTGGTGAACGTCGTGCTATTCAAGTCATGAAATTATTTATATAAAAATTTTTCATCTTCAGTTATTATTTATTTTTTAGGAAGCTCAACGAGCAGCTAAACAATCAAAACCAAAACCAGGTACACCTACTTCAAAATCTAATGAAACACAACAAGCTTCAGCAAATATAAAGAAAACAAGCACTGATCAGTTTCCTACATCAACTTTGTCAACACATTTATCAAGTAAAATATGTTTTTGAATTTTTTTTTTCTACTTGAGCCGAATAACTTCGCCATAGCATTGAAGATTCAAAAGTTTGAGCCATCCTCTGCATGACTTTTATTTTGTCAAAATATAATGGTGTTGCTCTATGTAAGAAACATTTTCTTCTTGTTTTAAGTATCTCATCGACCTCAATCTGAAGCTGGTGAATCGACACTATCAGTTATTTCAAAGTCAGCAAGATCAACAACTACTACTGCTACTGCTACTTCTACTACTGTACCTTCAAATCAATCTCAACAAAAACGTCAGCAGAAGTCTGATGATGCACGTGTAACACTTTTTGCGCATCTTATGATTTATACACGTAATCTTGAACGACTTTCAATGACATCGTAAGAACAATAGAACACTTTTTATTGCTTAATCAAATTGAATTCTAGTGAATCAAAATCAGTACATCCAGCTATTATTAAATTAGGTTTACAATATGCAACAAGACAGACAGCAGGTTCTAATTTACGATGTGTAGCTTTTCTTGTTGCTATTCAAAAAGTATTAAATATCATTTTGTTTAAATATTATTATTAATAATTTCTTTTGTTGTTGTGAATCATAGATGCTTGAAGATTATGAGGGTCCATCAGGTTCAAATAATTTATCAACACTTGATCCTGTGGATCTAAATACAAAATTAAAAATGAATATTAAGTAGATAAAATCTTTAATTTCTTCTTTCTTTCTTTTAACAATTGTTGCTTATATTATTTAGTTTTCTTACAAAATGTCGTCCAAATGCTGTAACGATGGGTACAGCTATACGTTATTTAAAAACTCATATTGAACGTATACCACGTAATATAACTAATGAAAAAGCTAAAGAATTACTTAGTGATGTTATTAAAAGTTTTTTACGAGAAAAAATTGAATTAGCTGGTATAGCTATTGCTGAAACGTACGCTATTACAAAAATTACTAATGGAGATGTTATTCTTATATTTGGATAGTAAGTTGAACAATAATAAATTTCATTGTTTTTCTTTTTTGTATTGAATTGAAAATATTTAGTTCCTCATTAATTATGCGTATTTTGGAAACAGCTATTAATCGTGGAATTGATTTTCGAGTAATTATTGTTGATTCACGTCCGCAACAACATGGTAAGATTTATTCCAAGAAACTTTATTTGTCTATTTGAATCAACATTATTTAGGTATTAAATCTGCCCGAAGATTATTAGCATTAAATGTTAAATGTACTTATATACTTATTAATGCTGTGCCATTTATTATTTCAGAAGTTTGTATCTTTTTTTTAAATAAAATTATTTTGTTCATTAAATTAAATATATTTCATTTATAGGTAACAAAAGTATTATTAGGTGCACATGGCTTATTAGGTAATGGTTATGTCATGAGTCAAGTTGGTACAGCACAAATATCTCTTATTGCTAAAACACATAACGTACCTGTACTTGTTTGCTGTGAAACATATAAATTTTGTGAACGTGTTCAAACTGACAGTTTCGTTTTTAATGAACTTGGTATAGTATTAATTTATTAAAATTTTTACAAAAAATTATCTTTTTTGTTTTTTTTTATAATTCAGGTGATCCAAATGATTTAACTGCTGATCATCCACTTCTTCATGCAGCTACGTCATCTTCATCATCAACAGCACACACTTCTAATTCATCACATTCAAATTTAAATATTCTTAATATGACATATGACGTTACACCACCAACATTTATAAGTGCTGTTATTACAGAATTGGGCATATTACCCTGCACATCAGTAGCTGTTGTTATTCGTATGCAAAATAAACAATTAGATGAAATATGTGGACAAGAGCAACAATCAATGGCAACGACCACAACAACAACATCAAATATTAATATTCTTTCTCCTCCTTCAGAACCTGTTCAATAAAAAGAAAGAAAGAGAGATGATTTTGATTGTTTATATTTTTTTTCTTCTTCTATTGTGTTTTATCGAGAAAAAAAACAAGATATAATTTTTGTTCTGGTGTTTTATTTTAATTGAAAGAGATCTTTTATGTTCCAATTAGCATATGATCATTGGAAAAAACAAAATTTTATTGAAAGAGTTCTTTCTTTTTTACATTGCTTTTTATCATATGATCGATAGATTGATTTGAAAATATATATGTTTCAATTGGCGAAAATGCTTCTCAGTCAAGACTTATAACATAAATTGTGACACATGATTGACAATCAACCGATAAATATTTCTTTTATATTATTTACATGCCGCACAGAAAAAGAGAATAAAACAATGTATAAGAACATATTAATGATTCATACATTTTGTCAACAATTATCAGTTACAACACTTAATTATTTAAAGTAATAAGACTCTGTTCAAGTAGAATGCATTCAATTCAGTGTTGTTAGAATGAGTCATCATTTTTTTTGTTTTTTTTCCTATTTAATTCTATTGCATAGTTGTGCATATGTTGTGATGCAAGGATTTATAAGTCATGAATTAATTCATCTTTCATCATCTTTTGTGAATTCGTAACTGAATATTTTCTCAATTTTTTTTTGTTTTCTTTATATATTTCATTATTGCTTACAAACATTCTTATTATTTTCATTTTAAAGATAACCATTTTTACGTCGATAAAAATGGATGATTTTCAATATCAACAACCTCAACGTTTCCGACCAACTAACAAACAACGTGAAGAAGAAAAAAAACGAAAATCAGGCTCGTCGGGTGGTATTCCTGATCGGTAAAAACAAACCATAATTCGTTTTGTTCTTTTTTTTTTCATTTCTACAATTCTTCTTTTTTGTAGATGGCTTGATTATTTAGGTGTTAATTCATGGGTTGAAAATACACGTTTTATTGCATTTAAATGTCCATTAAAACCGGTTTGTTATAATTTTTAATTCGTCAAAAAGAGACAAAAATTTTCCTGCATATGTAATTGAATATATAGGAAATGCAAAAGCATTTAACTGATGAACGACGTTTTACATTAGGTGATCTTGTTGAACGACTTGATGATAAAGGAAAAGAACTTGGCTTAATAATTGATTTAACAAATACTGATCGATATTATAAAGCAATCGTTAGTTCTATTATTTTTCTAATGAACATGACATAGTATTGTCATTCTAATAACAGGATATTGCTGATGCACAAATTCAATATCATAAAATGATGACACCTGGTCACAACCAAATTCCAAGTGAAATATGTTATCAACAGTTTGCTAATGTTGTACGCAAGTTTCTTGAAGAAAATAAAAATAATGGTAATACAGTTTTAAAAAAAAACACTGAATTTTATTTTGAAATTAATTTCTTTTTTGTAGATAAATTAATTGGTGTTCATTGTACACACGGACTTAATCGAACAGGTTATTTAATTGTGAGGTAGAAGAGACAAATAAAATTCTTTTTCTATCGACATCTTTTGTAATATATTCTTAGATATATGATTGAGCAAATGGATTTTGAACCAAATGAAGCTTTAGAAGGTATTAAACAGAAGAGAAAGTTTTTTCTTTGTTTTTTTTATTAAAAATTTATTTTTTAGCATTTAATCGTGCTCGTGGTCATTCAATGGAGAAATATACAGAAGATTTACTTAAACGCACATCTCCCTCGTACGTAAACATAAAAAAATGAAGTTAACTCTTTTCTTTTATACTATATTTTTCCAGTAAAAATACACAATCAACATCTTTTCTATTGAATTCAGCATCATCATCAGAATTAGTTAATAATAATAGTACAGTCAATAATAATACTAACGGAGATCAAATGCAATGGCCGACATTATATTCTGCAATAGAAAATCTATCATTGAATGAACGATACAAACAAAGACAACAAAAGTTTCAACAAATTCCTAGTTCAATATCAATGCAAAATTATAATTATCAAAGTGAACAACAACAATTACGTTCAACAAGTTCAGCTAATGTTCGTTATGAAAATAATTCATTAAGGTCTCAAGGTCATGGACGTACATCTTATCATCAACAAAATACTACGAATAATCATTTTTATCGACAAACATCAGTAACACCTCGTATTTTAAATTCATCGCTCAATGACAATCAAAGTTCTATTCAATCATCATCAACTTATTTCGGTTCGGGTAGTAATGTTGGTCGAGGTCGACCAATGACTGGTGATCGATAACTTGTTATCAAATTATATGTTTTTCTCTTTTGTTTTGTTTTATTTGAAATCAAAAGGTTTTTCCAATAAAAAAAAGTTCAGATTCAGCAACTCATTTTATTTTAATTTTTTCCAACTTGTTATATTAAGAAGAACACTCAAGCTAATGTATCCGTTAATTTTGAACTATCATAATAGCTGTGAGCATTATAGCAACACACAGTAGCAAGAAAGAGGAAAAAAATGTATGATAAGCGAGATCATGACGACGGTCTCTGTAGATGCTAAATGAACTTTTCTTTCGATGCTATACATATATGTGTTTGCTGGAAAAGTAACCATATGAGAAGAATAGAAAAATAAAGTTCATTAGATACTTGAAAAATTAATGTGGCAATAGCAACCAATATGCCTTTTCTATCGTCTCACTGACACAACTGAAGTTTGTGTAACTAAATAAACGTCAAACTATCAATTAAAAGAATTTTAACGTAAAATTCATTATTTGTAAATTAATTGCTCTATTCTTATATTTAGCGACAAAAATGGCCGATTTGAATATAGCCACCAAAAATTCTCCTGTTGACGTTCGTAGTTCAGAAACACACGGTTATAAATCATGTAACACTGTACAACGGAATTCAATTCTTCTTAGCAGTACTGGAGGCAATACTAGTACTAATACCAGTGGAAATTTTGCTGCCTTACGACAGCGTCGTCAGTCATCATCTACTAATGCCTTTCCTCGAGGTATATATGAACGTCGTTTTATTCGATATGAAAATACATATCGAATGGAACCTGATGACGACCATAAACTTGATTTATTTCGAATACGTTGTCTTGCAACAAGTGTTATCGAAACAGCTATAGCCGGTTATACATATGATCCAAATCAAGCAAAACATTTTGCAGTAGCATTAGCTGACCTAATACGCAGTCAAATGAAACAATTACCATTTCCACGTTATAAAATTATGACACAAGTATGCATTGGACAAAAGCGAGGTCAAAATCTACGTATTGTTAGTCGATGTATATGGGATCTTAAACAGGATCGTCATATAACAATTACAAAAGAAACTGCAGATGCTTATGTAATGGTGACAATATTTTTTATTTATACCGAATAATAGAATAATATAAATATATTTTTAAAAATAAATATTTCATATATGATTAAAATGCTTCTTCTGGCATTCTGAGATGCAATGAGTTCACAACAACCAAATCGAATATAACTAGTTTCATCTTTTTCAACGCATAAAATCTATAAATACTTTTATTGATTGCATGAACTTCTGCAATTGGTTTCATTTCTGTCACACATTGAAAAAATTAGAACACTTTTGAATATCAAAAAGATTTTCTTTGAAAAACTAGTGAACATTTTTCATAATTATTACGTAAAACACATTTTCATTTCATAATCTATATTAATCTATCAACGATACCTATCATATTATTTTCTTTTTCTTAATATCAAGGATAAGAGAAAGATGCACTTCAATTTTGTTCTTCTTTATCACCTTGAAAAACAACAACGAGGCGAAGCATGCACGATGACAATAACTCAGTAACTCGAGTAATTGATTTATTGATTCCGTCTTCCGTTTCTAAGCTATAAGTTTATTTAGCATCGATTACAAGTAGGCAGGTAAGAGGTCCAATATCAATATATATCCATGTTCGAAGGCAAAAAGAAACAAGTTAGCACGATAGCTGCCATTGTTAGTTCGACCAGAAACAGCTCAAAAGCAAGACAGTGGCTATGCATTCCTTATACATTTTAATTATTTGCGTTATATTATTATCGACATGTATCGACGCGTTAAGACATAGATCTGTTCGTCAAATTGGAGCTAATCAATGTCCTAATCCAAACAGTAACAACTTTTTAACAGAACATTTCCATCATCATGCTTTTTTCTTCGACTTTTTAGACAATGCATGTCTTTTCGTTGTTTGTGAAAATGGCGGAGAGTGTTCTGAAGATCCAACAACAATTGATTGTTTCAAATGTCAATGTACACCGGGTTATACGGGTAGAACATGCGAAACACTAATTCCTATCTTACGTATGCATCTCTTTCTCTCTTCATCACTTACTTATTTCTTTGATTCATTTATTTTAGCCATTGAATGCAATCCAGGATGTCAAAATGGTATATGTTTTAGTAATTCTTGTAAATGCTATTCAGGTTATACAGGAACATATTGTGAAATCAGAGGTAGATGATAATCAACTTTGTCTGCTCACTGCAATAGAATCAACTAATATTTAATCCTTTTTAGATTTTTGTTCATTTAATCCATGTGAACATGGTGGTCGATGTATATCGACTAGTCTTAATTTTGTATGTGATTGTACAGGTACAGGTTATACTGGTGTAACTTGTACTGACATTATAACCATAGGTAAATTTTCATGTCTTAAAAACAAACTTGTTTATTTTCGAATCGGTAAAAATATTTTATGTAGATGTTTGTGCAAAAAATCCTTGTGAGAATGGCGGAATTTGTCATAGTAGTGGTAATTCTTTTGTATGTGCATGTCTGTCAGGTTGGACGGGTACATTGTGTGAATATCCTCAAGTAGTGACCACGACATCTACGTTTACTACACCAAGTGGTACGTAATTCATTTCATTTGCCTGAGAATCTTTCGTTATTTTTTCTCTCATGCTTCAAAAATGTTTCTTTTTTTCTTTGTTTTAATCAAAATCCTAATCTTTTTGATTTTCGAAAGAAATAATACTATAGAAACAACGCTATTATTTTGTGAAACAAACCTTTTTAGTTGGTATTACATGTGCGAATCAACCATGTCGCAATGGTGGAATATGCTACAATACTGGTAATTCGTACTATTGCTATTGTGGACCAACCAATACTTATACTGGTGTAAACTGTGAAATAGTCTCATCAACAATAGTACCTAGTAAGACTATTTTCGGTTATTTATATGTAAAGAATTGTTTCTTTCACATAGGTTGTCCATTAAACTGTGCACCTGGTTACTGTGTACCTTCGGGCACTCCTGCACATCCATATGTTTGTATGTGTCGTGATACTCTGCATCTGACAAGTTGTAATTGAAACAATTGAGATTTTATGGACGAAAAACTTTTTAAACCTGAAAAATAATTAACAAAAAATATATATAAATTTACTTCTTTAGAAGAAATAATATTTTTTTAACGTGCTAATTATACACTAAAAACTAACCATAAATAAATGCTCTGTATTCTGTTTCTCATCTATTCGATAAGTAGACAAAACCTGAAATCAACTTAATTACTTCTATTTATCTTAGTTGAAATCAAGATAGATAGCTAACTGATAATTGAAGAAAAAACTTTTGTTTTGAATGACAAACGAGTAACAATATATTATTTCCTGTAAATTTTTTTATAAATACTTTGAAAAAGTAAGAAAGTATATTCTGAACAAATTTTGTCTATATTCGATACATTGATAGAACAATTATTATGTTTGAGAGATATATCATTTTTTTATACTGTCTCTATTCTTTATATTTATATGTTTTTCATCATGATACCTAGTTGGTAATGGAACGACATGCAAAGATTATTTTTTAAAATGGAAGGAATGGTTTCATTGAACAAATGTAAAAACAAGTGTTCAATGATTGAAAACATGCTAACGCTATTAGGACCATTTAGACAATTGTCATCTAAGTAGTTCTTACAGGTTTTCTCATACATTCTATACAGTAAAAAAATATCCTTGAAATCATGAGTCACTCTAAACCAATTCAGATGTATTGATTATATAACTTGTTCTGCCATATTAATAGAAGATTTTTAGATATTGTTTGTTTTACAAATGATCTTCAGCTGAAAACTCAAAAACATTTACTGACTATTCTAATACAGAAAACTCTAATTGAAATAGTGGCGCTACTGTGTATTTGAACTTGTTCAATAATTTATTTAAGGAACCAGTCAATATTAGTGTCAATTTCGACTGTATACTACATGATTCTATTCGAAACAAACTTATTTTCCTAATAAAAAAGCAACGTTAAAAAGAGACGAATACTGTAAGTTATTTGTCTGATCCTTTAATCTAAATTATTATTATCGAATTTTTAATACTTTGACCTAATGTGAATCTATGTTTTTTTTTGTGAGGAGATCAAATATATATTTGATTAAAGAAGTTCTCAAATCAACTTTTTCATTGATGATTTCGAAAGATAAGTTTCATTGATGTATTGTTTGTATTGCAAAGATTTTAATTACAACATAGTAGATACTATAGGAAACGCATATAAATAATGGAGAAAGTTTAAATATTTTTTCCATGTTGTCTTGAAAGCAATGATCGGACAATAGCACGGTTGGACATAGTCGGATTTCATTTTTTCTTAAATCCAGCGCTGCTTGTTGATAGTAGTTCATGACATAATTTTATGAATTATTACTATTGACTAGTTTTTAAAAAAAATTCAGCTGCATTTAAACTTCTCAAATATCTAGACGAATATTTTATTGCAAATACTTTATTCATCAATTACTCATAAAACTTATTTTTTTCCAAAACAAACTAATTTATGTTTTAAATGTTTTGTTTTTTCTCCGAAGACAAAAATTATTCAACAGAGAATAGCGTCAACGCTTTTTTGAAGACCGTATTAACATTCTCTCTCAAGGACACAACAATAATTCTCTAAATTGTGTAAAGCTTTGTATTTTAATTCAGATCATACTACTTAACATAGTCATCTGATTATTCTTTCTTTCCAATGTCATGTATACAAAAAAATGCCCTTCGCCGACTTGCTTCTCTTGCTGCCTTGAAATAATGATCAGGTGGTAAACGCCTACAGACAACAATATATTTGGTAATGTGAGTGATTGATTCTCTGATCCCGTTTTAATGCGAACGTTGTACATCTTTAATTGACAGTAATTTAACACAAGAATATAAACAGGCTTCATATGAATCAATATAATTTCTTCGATGAAAAAAAACCAAGTGTCCAAATAATAATCATTCCAGTTTGACAAACGAACTTGAAGGACAAGATGGTAGATTTTCGTTCAATAGTTATCTCAAATATATTCCTAATGTTACTATTAAAAAAAGCTGATGCATCACACTATCGATCTGTTCGACAAATTGGAATAAATAAATGTCCTAATCCAAACAGTAACAACTTTTTAACAGAATAATTTCATCATTATACTTTCTTTTCTTCGATTTTTCAGACAATGCATGTCTTTTCGTTATTTGTGAAAATAGCGGAAAGTGTTTTGAAGATCCAACAACTATTGACTGTTTCAAATGTCAATGCACACCTGATTTTACGGGCAAAACATGTGAAACACCACTCCCTATCTCACGTATGTAACTCTTCTGCTTTTTATCACCGATTGATTGCTTTGCTTCATCTATTTTAGCGATTGAATGCAATCCAGCATGTCAAAATGGAATATGTATTGGTAGTTCTTGTAAATGCAATCGAGGTTATACAGGAACATATTGTGAAATCAGAGGTAGATGATAATCAAGGTTTTCTGACCATTGGAATAGAATCAATTAATCGTTCAATTCCTTTTAGATCTTTGTTCATTTAGTCCATGTGGGATACATGGTACTTGCATGAGAATAAATCTGCCAGATGGACCTATGGCATATTGCAATTGTGAAGATCGATGGACAGGGAAATATTGTGATGTGAATATAGATGGTAAACATGTTTCTTTTATTCGTGATTGATTCTTTATTTTTTCTATGGATACATGAAATTTCACATTTTCAGAAAATTGTCCTATTCGATATTGCTTTTCGGGTGGTACATGTGAAATGAATATAAATATTCCCTACTGTGTTTGTCCAGCAATGTACACAGGTGAACGATGTGAATTCTTAGTAGGTGCTTTAACAACTATTATGACAACTGTATCAGGTATGTCAATCATTCTCATTTGAAGTGACGATTGAAAATCAACACAGATACGACTACAATGGCAACCATTCCAACTACTGCAACTATACAAACAACCACAACAGTTTCCACATGTAAGATCATGTTGCATTTGAAAGTTTTAAGAGAAGAGTAATGTTTGTATTTTTTTCCTCTGTATTTCGAAAGTCAATAGTCTTTGTTCTTGGCGTGTGTGTAAAAATGGTGGAACTTGTGTTCCTATTGGCACTTCATACTTCTGCTTTTGTGGGACAGCCAGTATCTACACCGGTAAAAACTGTGATTCAACAACACCAATGACGACTAATGGTACGAAATATTTTTATGCAACTATATGTATGCATTAAATATTTCTATTTTTCTTTTTCTCCAAAGAATGTCCGTTAAACTGTGCACCTGGTCGTTGTATTTTCTCTGGTAATGCTCAAAAACCATATGCTTGTTTGTGGAATGGAGTTATGCGTCCTTCACATGGTACTACAGGATAATTGATTTTTATTTACGCAAAAATTATCAAATGTGAACTAAAGAAAAAAGCTTAACTAACGGATATATATATCAATTATGTCTCTTAGTAATAAAATCTATTTAAACTTTATGGAAAAATAATTTAAAGTTGGTTTGAAAGAAAAACACCCCATGTATTAGATGTCAGATGGGTTAAATAATTCAAAATGATGTGTCGAGATTTTATGTTAACATAAAACCTTTTTCAATTGTTTTCATTTTGATTTAATATATAGATTTTGCTAAATAGTATAATAAAAGAATTTGATTACCGATGGTTGTTGAGACTAGTAGTACTTATTCTTTCGATTTTTGCTGCCGATCTGGTTTTTAAAAATAGAGCGCCATAAACTTTATAAGAATTGTGTACCATTGGCTGAATGTATCCATGCTTGTGCCATAGGTAAGAAACGACCATGCCCAGATCCTGGGTCCTCGCCCAGCTACCCTAGCGGGGGTACTTGGGTTCTCATATGGCTACCCTAGCAGGGGTANGGATTTTTGAAAGAACTATTTGTGCCAATTTGTTACCGATATTATGCTGCTTATTCCAGCATAAAATTTTTTAATAGAACGATTTACTATTGGTACAATATGGTCAATATACTGACTCTATTATATAGAAAAATACACCATTGTAGCAGACAATGTTACAAGCTGACGTTGAGCCCTGCTAGTACCAAGAATTTAATTCGTGCAACAAATAGAGCTCAATAGTATGCAATTTCTGAGAGATAGTTTCACGTTGTTACTCACTTGTTCTGTAACATAATATTAAGCAGACAGAAATGTGAAAAAGTCACAAAATAGCCTACGCGTATAGCAAATGATAATTTTGAAGCATGAGAAAAGCAATGAAGAACACAGTTGATTATAAAAGTTAAAAAGCACCTATAACTCTATGAAATCGAGTTTAAAACAAACTTTACGTGAGTTCGTCCTTCCAAAAGGTCAATGGTTTTCATATATATATTTCCTAAGAGCTGCAGCTCGAATATCGGCCCTAACCACGGGAAAATCTGAGGAAATTTAGATTTCTTATATACCATTCGATGCATCGCAATGAGCTCTACAAAACCACATATGTGATATCTTGATTCAGAGAAGTTGGCCAATCCGGCAGGGTCCTTTGCCCCATTAGTTTTGTATCATAGGTTACTAATACTATGATTCCATCATACTAATACGATGGATAAGCCAAAAGCCGAGATCATAGTTGTTTATTTTTTGACAAACTTAATTAAATAAAAAGGAAAATTCTTTAATGGATAACAATCATTCATAAAATATTAGAAATAATACATAGTTGGTTTTGCACGTTCATTAAATTGAAGCAATGTACTCAATCCGATAAGTCAAGATTTTGATACTAAAAGCGATGTGTTTTAAATAAATACAATCTTAGAAACTCAACTTTAATAATTCGTTGTTTAATGACAAGAAAGTGCTTTTTTATCAGCTTTATTTTTCTCGATACGACAAAAGTTTTTTTTCTATTGGTGGCACCTTCTGCTATTCTCTAGTCTAATAGTAATGGAATAAAATAAAAGAACATCAGGTGGATCAAGTACTGAAATTTGAGATCGTCAGAATATTATTTGAAAATGATACTTATTGATAGAAAATGATTAATTTCGAGAAAAAAAAGTGTGATACACAGAAAATCACTTTTTAATCTTTCTTGTGCGTCCTTGAGCGATTCTTATAGATATATACGTTTGTATCTATTCAGAACAATGACAATAAATTTTTTCAAAATACTCAATACAATATGAACCGATGGGTAGTTCGATTCATAGTAGCATTATTATTAACAACAGTCACTAATGCATCAGATCCTTTATCTGCTCGTCAAACGGACAGTGGATGCCCCAATCCAGAAGGTATAATACATCAATTTTTGCTTGCTTATAGAATATAAAATTTATATATTTGACAGTGAGAATGTGTCAATATGTAACATGTGCTAATGGAGGTCAATGTCGAGAGATCGATGCTGCTAGATGTTTTACATGCGATTGTAAAGTTGGTTTTACTGGTGCAATGTGTGAAACAAAAGAAGAAATTAGTAACAGAAGTAAGCTAAAACATTTGACATCAATTTTACTTCTACTGTATTAGTATTTATTGTTTTTAATTTAAGCACATATATGTGAATTTGGACCTTGTCAACATGGTGGCATTTGTCTTCCTTTTAATAATGATTTTCTATGTCAATGTCCTCCATTTACGACAGGACGTTATTGTGAACAAACAGTGGCGTCAAACCCGTGTGAGTCCTCACCCTGTTTAAATTCTGGTACGTGTATTATTAAGAATAATACTTTTGAATGCATATGTACTTCTCAATATACTGGATATCAATGCGAAATAAACCAAGCAACATCAGATCAATGCAGTTTTTCCACTTGTTTCAATGGTGGAACCTGCTATACATCTGGAAATGCGACTTATTGTTATTGTCCTACTGAAACCACTGGACGTTATTGCGAAGAACGATTACCTTTAAATCCATGTATATCATCGCCTTGTTATTCTGATGGTACCTGTATTTTCAATAATGGAAATTTTAAATGTTTATGTTCAGCAGATAGAACAGGAGAGTTTTGTGAAAAGTATAGTGTTTCCCATCCATGTGCTTCGGTACCTTGTCTCAATAATGCTCATTGCTTTGGTGTGAATAATAATACTGATTTTTACTGTTATTGTGGATATGATAGAACAGGACGTTTCTGTGAACAAGAGATAGTATACAATCCGTGTGCATCTTCGCCTTGTCTTAATGATGGTAGCTGTATTACTGTTAATGATACTTTCCGTTGTGAATGCGCTCCAGCAATGACAGGATATTACTGTGAATTAAATAGAACATTAGATTTATGTAGATTTTCACCCTGTTATAATAATGGCACTTGTTATACAATCAAACAAGATCATGTAGGATGTATTTGTCCCTCTAAAACCACAGGATATTATTGTGAAGAAGTTTTAAACGAATCTAATGAATGTGATTCTTGTTTGAATGGTGGTACTTGCTTACAACATAATAATTCATATACATGTGTTTGTCCCAGTAACTTTAGTGGTGAAAATTGTGAACTAATTAACCAATCACAAGGTAAAGTGATTTTTCATTTGTTATTAGTCTCTATCATTATTGTATTATAGAATGTACACTGGATTGTAGACCTGGCTACTGTATACGTACCAATGATTTAAAACATCCATATGCGTGCTTGTGTAACGGTACAGTTCATCCTAATAACTGTTCTGGTTATTAGAAAGATCTTTTGCCAGCCATAATTTTCATGCTTTAATATTCTTAATAATAAATTATTTGCTTCTATCATTTTGACGGAATCATTTTTTCTTAAAGTGTAATATGAAATGAATAATTGTTTGATCTTGAGCAATAATAAAATCTAGTAAGTTATTCAAATGAATTAGCAAATAGAGGAAAACTTGATTCTATATTACAATTGTTGTTAACATGATTGAAATGTAATTTCTTATCAATTAAAGAAATTTATTTGAAATACACTATAGAGAATCATATGTTTAATTTATTAATATAATGTCTAAAAATAGTTCAGTTTATCAAAACAACTTTTATTAAGAGAACATCAAAAATTTATTTAATTTTTTCGCGGTTTATCTCAAATATTAATTGTATTTTATTATTCACATCATATTCATTGAATACAACAATTAAAACAGAAAATGTGTATTAGTAATTGTTGTCCTAATACTTATTCGTCATCAGTATCACGAAATGTCTGTCATGATAGTAATATGACATTCAAGAAAACAGTACATGTACTTGATAGTGAACTTCGTCTTCGTTCAATTACGAATAGTTTCATTTCTAATTCATGCATACCCAATACTATTCGAAATAATATTGGCCGATTTGATGAACTAACTAATTTTTTTAATATTATCAATGGTTTATTTCGTCAAACGGCACTTACACTTGGTTTAAGTACATATCATTTAACTCCTTTATTACATTTACCTGAAATAAATATTGGGCTTAATCTGCATATAGATCAACAAAGTTTAGAACAATTTAAAATAGATATTTTGAAAACTATGTCATTCTATAGCTTAATCGGCGGAAATCAAACAAACGTAGTACTAAATAATGCTCATCAACAAAATATACCAATGTGTATTATTAAATTTCATACATCTGATAAAAATTTAATGTTTAGTGTCAATCATCAATGGACATCATCTTTGACAACAACAATTCGTTTTGGAACAATACCACAAAAACGATTTTGGTCACATGTAGAATATCGACGTCCTAATGAAACATATGAATTGATTGGTGAATATGGAACACGACATATATCTAGTATTCAATTAAGTTATCTATCATGCCTATGGCAACGAGTTAATCATCAAATCGATGGTGGTATTGATATTAGAGTAAATAAAAAACAAAAGTTTAAATAGAATTATACCGAATCTAATATACTTCGTTTTTTTTTTATTTAGATTACTTCTCAAGAAAAATTAGCCGATATTGGTCTTCGTCTCAAGCGTTCTTCAGATTCAATTTTATTTAAGTGTAATTTATACAATCCATTTGAACATTATTTAATTGGTATTCAACATTGTATCAACACCAATTTTACTGTAGGTTTTCTTGCTGAAAAAAAGACATATTACCATGAACAACAACCTATGAAATTTAGTTTGATGTCACAGTGGTATCTAAATAAAATAGGTTTACGAGTTAATACTTTAGTTAATACTCAACATGAATTCGGTCTTGCTTTAACACATCAAATTCGTCATTTTCCACTTGTTTTACAAACATTTGGTTTATATTCTTGGTCTATGCATAAACTTAAATGGGGTATTGGATTACAAGTACTTGTTTGAACATCTTGAACTTGAATTTCTTTAAAAATTTAATTAATATATATGATCATTAAATCATATCGTTTTTACTTCAAATTCAAGAAAAAAACCTAGAATAAAAAGAATTAATAAATTGTCAATAAAAGAAATAAAAGTCGTTTATTGACTATCGACATTTATATTTATTCAAACCAATAAAATCTTATAAACCAAGTAGGACACTATTTTATTCATCGTCTAGATCAAATAAAAGAGCATCTTTGTTTGTCACAAGGTAAACATTCTTTTCTTTCTTACGGACGTGAATAATGATTAATCCTCAACAAACGTTTGTTGTCATTCTTGTTAGTATACATTTTGTATTGTAAAATACAATGGTCGTGGTTTTTTTGTTCATCGTTGTGATTGTGACACAAACAAATGTAATCAATAGTCAATTCGGTGGTTTTGGTCAAACTCCATTACAATGTTGGCGCTGTGATTCATTAAAATCTGATCAAGAAAGATTTGCTGAATCACGTAAATTTGCATGTCTTCGTCACTTTGATTTTACTCAACATTCAGCTGAACCATGTGATGGAAAGTGTTGGATGTCATATGAAGTTATTGAACCAAAAACAAAAGCTGAACGAGAAAAAGCTATACGAATGGTTGACGAAATACCTGATACAGATCGACGTTGTTTTACCAGTGATGATTTAACAAAAGCTAGTATGATTGGATTAAACGCTGCTAATGGATGTCGAGATGTTAAAATGAGAGAAAAAGTTAAAAAATTTTGTTTTTGTGACACTGATTTTTGTAATGGAACTTTATCAACAAAGAGATTTTCGTTTGTTTTATTAATATTGATCCCTCTTCTTCTGTTTTTTCGTTTTTTCAGAAGTTGACTGATATTTTATAATAATATAAATGACATTCAAAACATTTCTTTCTTTATCATTTGATAATGTCCTAGAAAAAAAGTTTTGCTTTTTGGAAACAGATCACTAAAGAAAAGAAAAAACTTAATAGATCTTCTTTGTAAACAATTTTTTCTCGAAAAAGTCTTCAAAGAAAAATATTCAGTTAGTCGAAAAATATGAATAGAAAAAAAGCCTAATAAATAAACAAGTAAGTGTCGTCTCATTGATATTTACAAATAAATACTCAATAAAAAGCAACGATTATAATTCTAATTAGATCCCTAAAGACATCCATAAAGTTCTTCTGGTAAAATTAGTCTTTTAGCTGCAAAACTTAGACCGAGTCCGATGTAGATGTTTTCATCAAAATTAGTTTCTATTATGATGAATATTCCGATTTTTTTCGTTCTTATTGCGTGCGTGATGTATGATTAAAATTTTTTTTCTGTAAGCATCATCAAATACACGCAATCTACACAACATTTTTTCTGATCATTACTAATTTATTTCGTAAAATGAAAAAATTTCTACAATTGAAAAATAAGATAATCTGGAATGATATTTTCTTTTCCAATAATCTTTTATTTCTTTCTTGTAAAAGGCATCAATAAAAGCAAACAAACGCATACAGACACATAACATAACTATGACTTAAATAAGGCTCTTGATTGTTAAACACCGGTTATATATATTTATACATAAACCATGGAGAAGAGAAATCAAAACAAAATCATGGATATCACTGTTAAACATGATACAAATATTATATATTGCTTTATATAACCGAAAAGTAACATTATTTTATAAGTTTGTTTTTTTCTTGCATCAAGTATCATCGTAACGTTGTAGTTCACCTGATGTCGGATTATACTGACCAACAAGATAAAAATCTGTCTCTTGTCGTTTTTTTCCATAATCAGTTTTCTTCACATAATCATCATAAGATCCATAAATAGTACCTTTATATCGTATTGTTGCTATCGGATTTTCATCAATATGTGTACTCTCATAGAGAGCACCCTTTATATGAAAACAAAAAACAATAAAATAAGATATTTTTTTTAATAAATATTTGTATACTCACAGGTAAATCATTTTTATGAAGACCTATTGGAGTTTCTTGTGGACTATAATACCATTGTAATTTGACCAAATCTTGTTGAGTTGATTTATTCCGATAGAACTTAAGCACCTTGCCAATGTATGACAACGATTTATCAATACCATGAAGTATAATACAATCACCAATGCGAAGAACTTGTTTATTGTCATGACGACATATCGTTGAATTTCGAGTGTTTAATGTCCATTGAGGAACTATTACTGAAGATGAAGAAACAATTTTTTCTCTTTTTACTTTTTTTTCTGAAGAACTTGAATTAATAGATGCAGTTGATAATACACGACGTGGAGTTCGACGACTAGTTGATAAAGTTGAAGGAAGTTGAAAGGAAGATACACGCCATTCTTCTAATTTAACACCTAAAATTAAATATTGCAATAGCAAAGAGATCTATACATTGCATTAAAAAACAAAGAATTTTGCTTTGAATTCAACTATGACGAACATTAAGGTTTCAGAAACTGATGATAATGAGTTCAAATTACCATAATGATTTGATTTTAAAAGAATCCAAAAAATATTTTGAATATATCACAAATTATGTTCGAGAACATATTAAATATGTAGCTCAACCTTGAAACATCAATTGCCTTTCTCTGACAGAAAGTGAGAAAAAACAAAAAGGAGATAATGTCGCTGCAAGGAAAATAGGACTGGCGATGGATGGTCTAATAGCAGTTCGTCTATTGTGGAAGGGACCTAATCATGGTGAATTTCGTTCTTTTATCGACAGCCCTGCTGCAAGGTAAGATAACCCTACATATCTGTAACAAATACTCAAAATGAATTCTAAACTCTTTTTAAAGCCTATCGCTTTCTGACATAATCATAAACTAAAAGAACTCTTGCAACATACCTTTAACATCATAGTTATCAGGTAATAAACGTATTTCATCAAGTTTAATTAATCCCGAATCACCATCATCAAATAGCAGACCCACCATAGAAGATTCATCCATTTCCGATGGTATTTTTTTAACAGTTGCTGGATGAAGACCACGTAAGCTAGTACTCCAATATGCACAAACACGAGAATCTTTTGATAGGATATTAAAATCTCCTGGTATCATTTTTGGACATGCCAAACGACATAAATCATGTATTGGTATTAAATAAGTTTGTCTTTCATGATGTAGTCGTACAAGTAGTATATCATCATAATTACCAATTCGTTGTATAATAGCTTCATATATAAGACCATCATTTGGTATAAGTATTTCAAAATTTGTAGTAGTTTGATCGGGTTTTAAATGGAAACAAATAGATTGTTTTATTTTGTTTTTTGTTCTTTCGTTTTCAATTGAATTTTTCTGTATATCTGACGTTAAAAGATGACAATCAGAATGATGTGATCCATATAATAAGATGTTCTTTTCCATTTGTAAAATATTGAAAACAGATAATAAAAAATGAAGAAATCGATCTTTAAAATTTGCTTTTGGATTATAATAAAGGCGTTTTGGGATTTTTTTATGTTGATATTTTTGACAAATTTGTTTTATTAATAAATAACATTGTTTAAATAATGATTCATAATCTTTTGATGTTAATATTTTTTCATCTAATATAGATTTTTTATGACGTGTATCTAGTTTACAAGCAATATCAGCCAATTGTTCAAGAGCATCAATAGTAAAAAAATGTTTTCGATTTTTTATCTGATTTCGTTGATTAATTAAATCATTATATAAGTCAAATATATAACGAAGAAATATTCCTCGAGGTTGATTAGAATGTTTAAATAAATAAGGTTTTTTTTCTCGTTTATGTTGTTTTCTATGATGAATTATTCGATGAAGATAATTATCAGAAAAATGCTTTGTTTTTTTCTTTGTAAATATACTATTAACTTGTTTATAATATGGCAATCTTAAAAATTCATATGTTGGTGATCGAAATGAAGATGATAACAGATATTCTATACTAAAATTTGAACATTGTTTTGGTATTTTATAAGATGATTTTGATTTTTCGAAAAAATTCTTATGATGATTGGAAATAATCATTGTTGATTCTTGTTTGGAATATGGGGATACACAATCAGTTAAATCAATTGATTCACTTTTAATATTTGATAATGGTGGTGATGAAAGTGAATATTTACGTGATGATGAGAGATCAACTGGTTGATATTCAGTTTCAGATAAGTCTAAGACGAAAAAAAACAAAAAACACTAAAAATAATATGATTCAAATATTTCTAACCAGTACAAATTGATGATGGTGTAATGGAAATCGGCGGCGACAATAATTTATTTGTTGTTGATAATAATTCTGAAGTACATTGGGTATTCAACCAACTTCCTATGTAAACGAATAGAGCATATAAAGAACAAGAAAAAGAAAAATAGCAAAAGCATATAGTTTATTGATGTTGTTTTTTTTGTTTTTTTTTTTAAACATCGTACCTGATAAGGATGTTTCGAGCGGCAGCAATTGTTGAAACTGTGGTATCATAATATTAGGTAAAGATGGAGATGAATAAGAAGATGTATTGACGGCTTTCATGTTGTTCTATTCATCCTTTCCTTTTTCTCTTCGATTAATGACGACGCCATTTGAATAAAAGAATTGCTGGCGTAGTAGAGAAAGAGACCAAAAAAAAGGAAAAATCTAGCAAAGACAGAACGAACATGACTAAAATGAGTAATATAGACAATAAGAAAAAACTTGCGCAATTCTATAGAAGAAAAAAAAAAATTTTATATTAGAGCCTCTCGATCAGTCTATTTGATAGGAGAAGATTCTATTGATTTTTTAATTTACATATACGATTGATAATAATTAAAGACATTATGATATTGTTTTACAATGCAATTGACGGCTAACTATATCATATGTATACGTGTACCTATTCTAGAATTAAGATAAAAGTTTCTAATTCTTATTAATGTGTATTTCAAGAATATGCAATATATAAAACAAAATTAATTTTGTAGTGATTTAATGCACGAATCAAAAACCTATCTGATAAAAAAGGAAGAAAAAAACAAGACGACGACGACGACGAAGAAGAAGAAGAAGAACAGCAACAAAATAAACTGCGCACCAATTGCTTTTTTAACGAGTTGTGTAATTCTACAGAAAGTGATGAATACAGCATTCAGCTTTCATCACGATAAAAAAATCGTGGTTCTTGTTTTTTTATATTTTTTTCCTTCTTATTACTTTTTCCTTGAGCAAACAAATTATGGCATCGGTTATATTTATATATTTTACATATATATTGATTTTTTGTTCTGTCTTAATATCGATATGTGACACATTTAACAGGTTACTTCTATTTCCAGCAAATATTTCCTGACTTTTGATGTTTTTATTTTTCTCAATACAACATGATTAAGCAAAACGCTGTTACCTGTCGTTCGATCATGCGTGGAGTAAGACAGACGGTAATGTTTCTTTATAATATTACAAGGCCGAAGAATAGCTACGTAAAAGAACTGCGAAATATAGAAGAAAAGATAGAAAAATGAGCAAAATTAATGGTTCTAGCGAAGAAACACATCTTGGAGAAGAGATTATATCCCAATGTACATGGAGTGATACTTATAGTTCATTAAAACATATTCTGAAACGTACAGCTAATCAATTACCACTGCTTATTTCATTTACTAATAACAGTAGTGACCAACAAACAACAAATAATAATTATCAGATTATATATTTTTTTCATCGAAATTTTTCAAATAAAGTATTATTAACACCACTTCAACAACACGAGGATCAGCCTGATCACTTTGAAGTTTATCCTCATCATTGTACTTTTGTTATGCCAGATGTCTTTAGAGGTAATTCTAGACAATACATATAAAAAAAAAGAAGATATTATTTATTTTCTTTTTTAATTTCTATTCATTAAAGGATTATTTGAATTTGTTCTTCGTGGTCAACGTTGTGGTCGAATTTATAAAAATCTAGAACAATTGGTTGCGTTTGCATCGGATTTCAAACATTCAATTTTATTTATGTCACGCGATCGTGTTTTAGCTTATTTTCAAGATTCGAATTTTCCACATTGGTTAAGTAAAAAATATCCACAAGGAGCTATTTTTCGAGCTGAACGTATTCATCGTTCAACAGTAGCATCTAGTGACAGTCGTCAAATTCGAAACGATTATCTTGAATGTCTTGATGAAGATGGTTATAATGTTTTTATAAAAATGGATCAATCTGGCCGTTATTCTATTATTGCAACATCAATTGAACAACAAGAAAATCAACCAGAAATTTATCTTCATTCAACTCAAACATCAAATATTGATCAATTAATAAAACGTGTAACACTCTATTTTGATAATAAAACTAATAATAATTGTATTCGACTTGTACGTGGTTCAGTGCCACATAATTTTGTTTGTCAATATTTTCATTTTATTCGTCAACATACATATGATATGCTTGTCGGTCTAACACAAGAAGGTCTTGTTATTGAATGGAATTTAGAATGTCATGTACCATGTCGATATGCAACGAATTTAAATGATATACTTGATAATATATATGGAACAATAATACAGCAAAGACTTGAATCTTATATTGATCAAGCACGAATACATTATAGAGATCATTTTCAATATAATATGCAATTGATATCGAGTCAAGATTGGACAGCATTTTTGCAATACTGGAAATGGACACGTAAGAATCGTCAAAAATCTAAGGGCGAAAGCAAAGTTACATATCAAAGTCGTCATCGATTTCATCTTGTTGCTTCTATTCAAGTATGATAACACGAAATATTTTTTTTTATTTGAAATTATATGATCATACTATTCCTGTATTTAGGATCTTTCTGATAATTCTCAAGAACTTTCATCAGCATTTAAAAGCCGTCATAATCTTTCTCATAGTTCATCCTCATTGAAAGAAAATATTTCTAGTAAAAACAAAAAAGAACTGTCATCTAAACAGCGTTCATTCTTTTCTCAAATGTCAAAACTTATTTTATCACCAACAAGTTCTAGACGTCATCATTTCAATCGATTATCTCAACAAACACTACGAACATCAGGTTTTATGCTACCTAATGCTGCAAAACCGTTTGATGATAGTATCTATGAATCAAATCGATTTCATCATTCTTCATCATAAGTTAGTTGAAGTTAATCGAACCACACCAAAAACACAATCTGTTCTTAGTCTAATAAACACAATAAAAGGTTTAGATATATCTATTATCCTTTTGTTTTTTTTTGTATTTTGTACATTTCTTTTAAGAAGGAACAATAAAATAAGGTGTTATCCTGGAAAAAATTATTTTCTTCTGCATCATTTCCTTTCACAAGGTCAGTTACTAATCATCATGCATACATCATATATAAGAGAGAAATTAAAAAAAAAAAGTTCTATTGATATGTTTGAAGAAAAAAAAAGAAGTCAAATATTTTACATATTACTTGAGTTTCATCATCATGGGGTACTGGATCAAATTGAAGAAACAAGTATTTCAATAAATGATCCAATTCATTTAATACTGTTTGATTTTTACAATGATAACAGTAATTAGATGAAGAGAACATAGTCATTACATTTTTATCTTGACGTCAATCGTATCCTAAATTATATGAAATATAAAATCTAATAATGACGAGAACAAGAAAGAATTCTACTTACCTTTGACGACAAATTGATGACGTCGAGAAACTAGTTGAAGATCATTAATATGATTGAAAGCTTCTCAAATGTCGGGTCCAAATATGTTATCCACAAGAAAAACATTACACTAATGAATTTCTCTATATCTATAGAAAGCAATCCTACTGTGAATATCATTGTCATAGAGATAAATCGATCGAATTTTTATACAACTTTTGATTATTGATAGAAGAAGAAAGGGCAAGAACTCTGACTAGCAAGAATTTCTTATTGAAATTTGAGAACAACTTTACAGAAAATATTGTTTTTCAATGAAGAAAATCTTCTGGCTTCTTTCATGATCAAGAAGTCTATTCAACTCAACTAACTCTTCTCAATATATTAGCAACTATCATTATCGAAAGTAGAATCTGTTGTTCTTAATGTTATGATATTTTTTTTGTTACCATTCTGTCATATATTTGTCTACTTTGTTTTATTTTAAATTTTCAAAATCAAGAAACTTTCAAAATTTGTTCGAATATCTTAGCTACTGTTGCCAATTTCTATATTAGCTTACACCTCTATTTTTATCTGATTTCGTTTTATTAACGTTCACAATAATTATTTTGATTTATCATTAACAACCAGACCATCTTTACAAAATGACGAACATATCAATGATTGACTTTTAATTCTGATATTCACTCAATTCACATTATCATACTCGTTTAGGCTACTATCTATCATCTGTTTCGAAAAAAGTCATCTTTTCATCATTGAGCGGTGAAAGATTTTTGAATTTCAAAGTATTTAACGAAAGAAAATAAAATCTATAAATAAAAATAGAATTATTCATTATTATTTTCTTATAATCAGATACATACTCATGTTTTCACTCTTCCCAGTTATTTAATTATCATTCATTCATTTTCCTGTTTTTTTTTCTGTATATTCATCCGTACGATGATGAGTTTATATTTTCAGAAGAAAAGTATTAGATGGTTGCGTAAGAGTAAAAATGAAAACAAAAAATCAAAAGCGAACAAACAAAAAAGAACAGAACTCACTGATACTGTCATTCAACAAACAATCGAAAAACTACACATATAAAAAATATGTATAGCAACGAATGCAAGTCACAGATTATAAATTTGTCATATTCTTTTTTCGACAGCTAGTGAGATGAAAAGGAAAAAGTAAAATGATAAAATCAATTACACACACACAACGATTGATCACAATCAATAAAAGACGAAGAAATAGCATTCAAAATGCATACTGATCGTTCGAATAGGAAAAAAAAGATAAGAAGAAATAATGATCATTATAAAAAGTAGTTCCTTTGCCTAAAAATTTCTGCTCTTCTTTTTTGTTTCACAGTGCTGACATCATCTTGGAAAGAAGAAAAGAATAGATTTCATAAAGAAAACGATGAACAACAACAGGTATGTGTACAATGATTCAGAAAACAGAGAAGATGATGAGTTGTATTCTTGCGCAATATGAAAACAAAAAAGTAAGAAAGAAAAAAGAAAACAATAAATTAAAGAAAATAGTCGGGCGTTTTTCGTGTTACATGTGGTTCGCCTCGTCTTGGTGCTGGATCAAATTGAAGAAATGAATATTTCAATGAATCATCTAATTCCATTATTGCTGCTTGATTTCCACAACGATAACAGTAATTAGGTGCAGAAAATATTGTTACTACATTTTTATCATGACACCAATTGTATCCTAAAAACATATAAAATATAAAATATAAGTAATAAGATAAGATAATTCTATTGACCTTCCATAACAAGTTGATGAGCTCGCGAAACTAATTGTAAACCATTAGTATGATTGAATGTTTCTGAAATATCTTGTCCAAATGTATAGCCAGCACCACGAGGTGAAATACCCCAACCACCTCGATCATCAGGATCCGACCTAAATGTATACAATAGAATTACTTTATTACAGCTGATAATAACTACTCACCAAAGTAAGTCACACATAGGTCCTTCATGTGGTACTTCTTGAATTCGATCTAAAGCTCGAATATGATCTAATGTATCAATTGATGGACTAAGACCACCATGTAAACAAAAAATTTGATTATCAACAATTGCTGTCAACGGAAGATAATCAAATAAATCAGTAAAATATTTCCAAACATTGGCATTGCCATATTTTCTTAAACATTCATCATAAAATCCATAAACTTGTGTAATTTGTCGAGATTCATGATTACCACGAAGAATAGTTATTCGATCTTTATATCGAACTTTAAGTGCAACAAGTAATGTAACTGTTTCCACCGAATAATATCCACGATCAACGTAATCACCCATAAATAAATAATTTGTATCTGGTGCATTACCACCAATTTTGAATAATTCCATCAAATCATGAAATTGTCCCTAGAAAAAAAGAAGCCAAAATATTGAAATCAATAAAAGTGACATATAAAGAATATGATTATTTTTCTTACATGTACATCGCCGCATACCGTTACCGGACAGTGAACTTCTTGTACATTAGATTCTTTTGAAAGTATATCTTTAGCTCGATCACAAAGAAATTTAACATGATTCTCTTGTAATTGTTTACATTCTTTTAATTGTTCAATCCATAAATCAAGTTCTTTAGATGAATCTGTCTTGTCGTCTGTCATTCTTTTGTTTTTGTTGTTATTGAAATATTATCTAGAATAGATATAGATAATGTTTTTCTTATCGACTTATTCACAAAGAATCACTTTTCTAGTGAATAGAGCAATATCACACGAATTTTCATCTCTATACAGATGTATTTATATATGAAGACGTACATGTGAATGAGAACGAGAAGAATATGGATGACTAACGAGACTCTTTTGTTTTGACTCATGAAAAATAATAAGGAGGTGTAGCAAATAAACAAAAATATTAACGAATGATCGAAAAGAGTTTTTTTAATTGACAGTAGTCTATCATTGGCTATTTACTTCAATTTTAATTAATTAATTATTTCAAATTAAAATATAAGCTTTATGATAGAAAAATTAAGTCAATTTATTCGATTGATAGATTTCTTTTAAAAAGAATCCATGTTATTAATGCTATTGTCTGTTTTTGTTCTTTGAAAAGATGTCGCTAAATTCCAGATTGTTTTGTTCATCTAAATTTCATAAAGCAACTAACTAAAAAGTAAGAATATATTTTAATCATTTGATAAATTTTTACTTTATAAGACAATACTAAAAGCGGTTGTCATCGTAACATACGCATCGATATTGACTAATGGCCATTCACATATAATTGTTTTGCGGTTATAATAAATCATTTATATGTCAACAACAAATATTCCTTTGTAGATTATATTTTTTACACAAAAAGAAAAAAGAAAAAAGTAGAAAACTAACATGCCAACATCAAAAAAAGCTTATAAGTATTCTGTCGAATTGAATGTTAATGTACTTGATGCGCCTGGTGCTCGACTAACAACAAAAGGTGATATTTATATAAATATTTGTTTATTGGGTGTACATAAACGTACACGTTTAATGCCACCTAATTTTCCAATGCATATTCATGAAAAATTTTATTTTGATAAAGTATGTGTCAACATTGAATTATTCAGTAAAAGTAACAACTTTTAATATAGATTTTTAGATCATGTTACAATTCCCGGGATATTATTCAACGACTTGCACGTAAGCATATCGAAAAACAGTTTTTGTGTAGATAAGAATTGAATTCGAATAGGTGAACATGCTCTTTTTGAATTACTTCAAACTAATGTTCCATCACCAGTTATTTTGGCAAGTTATGAAACAAGTGCAAAAGATTTTCTTTATCCATACTCATATGATCGAGTACAATATACGGGTTTAAATCGTTATATTCTTCTTAGTCGAACAGTTGATTTTCCAGGAATTGCTCCTAGTTTGGAATTTACTGTTAGCCCATCTATTGATGATGTTACTGGAATATCAAAGAGTATTAAAAATCATAAATATACACAACCTATTGATTCATATGGAAAAAGTGTAAGATATCTTTTCATTACTTCTGAAAAATAAAGAATTTTATATATTGTTTTCTAGCCGAAACGAACAAAATCACCAATATGGAAACCAACATCTACATATCCAAATCGGTAATCTCTTTTGTATTTTATTATTTGTATTATCATGAAAAACATATATGATGGAATAGATCTTCATTGAACGACTCGGCTAATGTATCAAGTTCAGTAACATCACATACAATATCATCAGCAGTAAAAGGTGATTATTCACAACCTCAAACAAAAGCAAAATTACAAGAATTAGCTATACCAGGAGAAGTTAAACCTGTTGTTCTGCTTGATAAAACATTGGGACGAGAACCATTTGTCGTGCGACATGTAAGTCTATTCATAAGAATAGATTCAACAATAATTAGATATTTTTGTTTCATAGGTCAATGAGGATTTGATTGGTCGTAAACCTCTATCTCATATTGTCTTTGATGATGGTCTAGTTGTTAATGATTATTCATTCTCTCGTGATAATAGTTACATGTCATTGTATTCACTAAATGATGGTTACAATTATTCTCGATCGGTTTCTCCAGCTAATCGTCGTAGAAGTGGTTCAAGAGGGGCACGAGTTCGGTCAACATCACCATCGCGTCGTTCAGCAAGAACATCTCAGTCTGTTGATTTTGAGCGTCAAGGACGTTCACGAACACCTGAACGACGTTCTAGATTACGTCCGGCAACAACATATTCTTATAATGATTATGATTCTCAACATACAGATGATGGTATGTCATCTTTTGGTTTTTTTCTATCTTACTTCTATTAGAAAAATATCTAGAATTTCATTCGACTATAGATTGTGCTATATGTCGATTACATCGTGCTCATAGTGAACGAAGTCGAAGAGCAAAATCTTTAGAACAGGTTGGAAATTAAACAAAAAAAGAGTTCAATAGAAGAAAATAAAAGTGAAAACTAATTTTGCTTTGTTTTTCTAGCAACGCTTTACTACAACTTCAAAACATAAATTATATTCACCGGGTAAATTTCTGTTTAAGTTGTTATATAACCCTATTTTCATAACTATAATCAATTTAAACGTACTTATTTTATATTAACATTTTATTTTTTTGTTTATCAGCTGTCTACTCCAATACTACATCGCCTTATTTAACGAGTACAACATTACTTCGAGATCCATTTCGTTATCGTCATCGACAATCGCCAGCAGGCGAACTAAGTGACAAGATTCTTCATACTCTTCGACATAATCTTGATTCTTATGTAAGAAGAATTCTTCGTCGTTTTATCTAATGAAAATTTCAAAAACAAAAAAAACATCTTTGTTTTAGAGTGCTCAACCGTGGCATAACTATTATTCTTCTTTTCGTTATTCGGATGGACATATGGATGATGATGAATTACTTGAACGAAGTCGTCGACTCACACAAGATTAAAGAAGAAAAAACCAAACTGAAAATATTCAAACCTTATAAATATATATGGGTATATAAAGGTTTTGGCATAGATTGGTTAAGCTTATTGCTGTCATTGCTTTTTTTTATGTATTTTTCTGCTTCAGTTTTTTCACATTTAAACCCATCTTCTCATCTCAGGTTACTTTACGCAAACATCAAAACAAAACACTTCGATTAATTCTATTTCAATGATTTTTTTTAAACAATGAATAGCTGTACCTTGTAATGTGATGATCAATTTTCGATGAGAGAGTGTTTTTTTTACTTAATGCCCGCTAGTTTTCATATGCACTACAAAATATACTTCTTAGCAATGTTTTTCTTTTGTAACTGTATATGAATATAGAGAAAATTAACTATTTTTTTTAATCCTTATTAATCTTATATTAAAATTGCTGGGATTTACTGACATGTTTTGATTTATCTGAGCGTGTTTGTCCTTGATTTCTTTTTATTTAGAAGTATTTTTTGTGAAAGAAAATTTTGGTATTTTTACTTCCGCTAATATTATCATAATAAAAATTTTGACTATTAAGTTGAAATATTTAATCTAATCTTATTTATAAGTTGAAGTTTTAGTTCTAATTGCGTAGTCCTAAGAGTATATAATTTTACTAGGGGACGTCTGTATTTTATTACATGATTTGTATATAGCGTACAGAATTTTGTATACGACTGAATTATATTTAATTGAGATAATTCCTAAAGTGATTGATTTTCAGATTATCATGAAATAAACGATTTTATCCTTCAAATGAAGGTCATTGCGTCTTACATTCTATTAAAAAACAATTAGTTTTTTGTTGAAGAACATTTCAAATCTCGATAATTCCAATTGATTGACTAAGAAGAAGAATATTGTTTTCAGTTTATAGACTTGAGTGAAGTTATTGAGATAAAGAGAAGAAGAGTATAAGAGTAATTCTACTGTTCAATATCATTGTCTCAAATATTAAATTTTATTCAATCAATTGATTCTATACAAGAAAAAAGGAGCTAAGGAAATTCAGTTGTGTTGTTCCTATGTTCAAAACCAGAAACAATTTCGAATTGTCGATACACTAATCGTTTGCATTGACTTGAGACAACAACTGATAAAGTAAAATTTGTAGATGATTGAAATCTATTCAATATATGAAGCGTTATATAAAGTATTTAATGATCAATTTTTAATAATTCATGAAGTATAAATCAACTTCATAGGTAAAATATGATTGTTTATGATCTATTCGTGTCGAAACTTTCTCAATATACTGTCAAATTTTTATTTTTTTTCATTTATTTCGTACTTAGATAGAAATATCAATTATATGATAGATAAACGAGTGTCAAGTTTGAATCAGTGTTCGGTTAATTGACACAATTGTCTATCATAATCTTTGAAAATTAAAATCAGTATGATTAATTAAGATTATGAGAAGATTTTAGTAATGAACGAATTTTGATCATGAACTTTTAGACGATATTCAAATGTTATGACTTATAAATATTGAAATGACTGGATTTGCTCTTTCAGATGCAATGATTATTTTGAACGGAAAACAAATGGTGCTCACTTTAGTTTTATGATGAGAAACTGAGAAGACAATGGCTTTTTTTAATATTTTCTCAAGTTTTTCTACATTTATATTGTTAAGTCATTGAATAATAAATCTTTTCTTAAAGTTTTATTTTCTTTGTATCATACATATTGGATGAAACAAGATGTTTATCCTTAAACTTTTTTTTAATTCTAGCCATATATTTTCGAACTTTGATGATACTATTGACTGTTGACTGAGCTGATTGTGACATATATGCAAACGTACAGCAAAAGTATAGAGTCGTAATGTATTGCATGATGAAAAGCCAAAAACTAAAGTAAAAAAAGAATACTGTTTTAATATGAAGATGATTTCGTTCGATTAGTAAACTGCATTTGTTTAGTTGCGCTAATTTCACACATTAATTTCAGTAAAACACATAAATAAAGAACAGACCAATCATGAGAGTGTGGATGTGGGGTATGAATGTATTAGAGGAGAAGAGCATACGTATAGTCACCTCCCTGACAATCCATTCACTCACTCATCAAGGTACTCACGAATAAATTTAGGCACCCATCCACACTCACTTTCGTGGATGGATATGCATTTTCAGATTAGTTTATTTTCATAAACATTATTTATTTATTGAAATTACGCTAATATATAGTGTACATATAAAAACAAGTAGTTATCCTACAATGTAAGGATCATCCTCATTGACTTGTTTCCATTCAAGTAGATCAATTTCTTTAAGTTCGATTTAAACAGCACGCGTTACGTTGATAATGTTAAGTTTCATGGACATGACATAGAAAGCGGCATATATGATGATTAAGACCTTTCTTTCATGATGAAATTGGGATACTGTTCGAAGGTCGAAATCCGAGCGCTTATAACCGATCTTGTAGACATAAATCATTGAAATATGATCGCCACTGATTTCACATGAATCACTAAACGCATTAGCTACTCGGTGGTCCTTTGATACGGATAGGCTGACTTAGTTATTGTATGACTATATATAGAAAGAATCAGAGCAGTCAAGTGACTGTGTTGTAGTAATATATAAATACTTGCTTAAAAATCATTTATTCATAAGGTGACAATTAACTGAGTATTGATTCGAATCATCTTGTGTAATTCTCATACCGCAATAGCTTTCACTAGCGAGCAATAAAAAATCAAGTTCTGGATGAGTAGACAGATTATTAATAATGTAATACTGTCGTTAATAACTGTCGCTGCGAAATTTCTCTTAAAACTCATCCCTAGGATCAAAGGATGCATTCGAGATTTTATAATGTTCTACAGCAAGTTGTTGATTTAATATTTTGTAAAAATTCATTTGAGTTATATACGCTTTTAGCAAATATATCACGTTATTTTCTTCTTTCGATTTTTTGAAAAACTATTGTACTCTATCTATACCTTGTATGTTATGAAGTTCTTTATTTAAATAGAACTGTTGAGTTGACGCTATCAAATGACCAATTCTCACTTTTTGATCCTAAGAATAATAATTACAATGCTTTTCTTTTGCTACTTCTCCAATTTTTGCAGTCAACTTTCATCCCCTCTATTGAAACTCTTTGCTGACTTTCACCAATAAAATGACTTGCACTATCTGCTGGTAAACAAGTAAATAATTCCTTGATTTCATCAGTTTCAACCTCATCGTACGGCGTACGCTTGCACTTATTTTGTATTACGTGCAATCATCTGCCATTTGAACTTTATTAATTTGTTTGATGGTTAAAACATCAAGAAAACGTTTTACTAAATCAATATCATTAACTCGTCAAGTCAAGTAAAAGTCGCTTAGCAATTGATTAGTACAAATTTGCAATGATTTCGTCTGAAATGTTTTCACGTGACTTTATTCACTTAAAGGAGGGGATTACATTAAGGAATGAGATCGAGCATTCCTCGGAATTGAGTTTCTTATTTTTCCAATAGTTCATTCAAATGTCAACAGTCCATTATCGTTCAAATTAGACCGGTAGACTTCACTTTAATTGCGCGCGGCTGACTCAAAACTCAATATTATCGATCGTCTGTGGCATTATACAATGCAATGTTCATATGAAAAGTCTCTCTCTTTCTCTTGAGCTGTAGAAGCAGCGATCTACTTTGAATAATGTATCATCAGATAGGCTTATCAAAGCTCTACAAAATGATATTATTACGTTGAGATTAATTTGTGAATATGATACTTTAGTTAAAAGCACAAAGTTGATGAGTACCAAAAGTTGTCATTTTTCTGACCAATATTTAATCGGTTTTGGTCAGAATAATCAGGCTTTCTGTCAAAAACAAATCGTATATTTGAAAACAGCATGAAAAACTGAGTCGATTTATATGTGTCATAGAATTCTTCGACAACTATTATTTTCGTTCAAAACTCCGGCTTTTAATCTCCCTCAGAGTTACGTCGAAAACTGAATCATGTTCTCCACAAACTGAATGATGAAATCACGAATGCACTAGATGAATTCATCCTTCTTGATGTTGCTTCAATTGAGACTTTTAATAGGCCAAGTTCTATAGTCACGACCATTCTTCTGGTGATTACTAACTTTGATTGACTTCATTTTTTGACGTAACTCTGAGGGAGACCAAAGGCTAAAGTTTGGGACGAAAACTATAATTGTCAGAGAATTTTATGAGATATATAGATTAATTCTGCTTTTTATGCTGATTTCAAATAAACAATGTTTTTTGATAGAAAAATCGATTATTCTGATCAAAACTGATTGAATATTGATCAAAACAAGACAAACGTTTGACACTCATTAACCTTTTGTGTTTCTAACTAACGTGTCATACTCACAAATTAATCTCGTCGTAATATAGTATCATTTTATAGAGCTTTAATAAACCTATCGGATGATATGTGAAACAAAGTGGATCGCTGCTTTCATAGCTCAATAGTGACGAAGTTTAGTCATGGACGTCCTCATATTATACCTACCAACGAATAATGTTATATAAAAGAAGATGATACAAAACAAAATTTTGTTCTACTCCTATATGCCATTCGACAGAGGAAAGAAAGAGCTTTCATTTGGCATATTAGTGAAATTAAAGGAGTTGAAGAAGGTAGATAGACTTTCAATACAAATACTGCATTATATCATGTTTAGGAGATCGATAAGTACCAACTAAATATATATATATACTTCAAATACCAAATCAATCAATCTTGACTTTTTAGGACATGATCATTAATTGCTATACTTCAACTGCTATCGATTCTCTTTCATTGACTTTTTTTTATAGAAATAATTTTTTGTGTAAATATACTAGTCACAAACTGTACTTTTACAGAAACACACCTATTGAGCATAATTTCATATCAGATTCACAGTTAAACCAAACCCAAAAAAATGACTGAACCAAACGACAAAAATTTCCGACCTACAAACAATTATTTACTACTTTTTTTTTGTCTTC